CTAATGCGCTGATCTGCTCGAAGCTGTTGGCATAAGTGTGGTATAGAGACTGGAAAAGAGGAGGGGGGATTTCTTTATTTAAAAAAAAAAAAGCCTTATCTAGGTACTTACCGCCCTGACCATTATAACATGTGAAGATGATCCAAGCCACAGCCAGACCCCATAGAGGACGTGACAGAGCTTCGTACAGGGAGGTCTCGAACCCGGACCAGAGCCTGCCACCCTCTTGATACTGGATGTATGTAACTTGAGGGAGGGACAACACAGCCGCCAGACACAGCAACCAGCCGGCACACAGGGGTACCTGGGGACAGTCGCAGTAAATGCAGCATGGGTGTAGCTAGTCTATCTGTAACTACTGTCTGTATTTGCGACTTTTTAGGAAAGCATAGACAGGAGAAAAGAGCAACAAAGAGGTTCTGAAAGGGGCGGGGGCCCGAAGACAACTAATCTCAGACATCAAAAGGAGACAACCATCATTTTTTGGCCATGTGATAAGAAGAGGGAAATGGAATATGTTGTGACCACTGGAAAGATCTGTGGAAGGAGGGATAGAGGAAGACAACGAGAGAAGAATCTTGACAGTCTTGTTGCAGGGCATGAAGGTGTGGCAGCATACGAACTAATACATGCTGCGGCGGATCGCAGATGGTGGAGAGGCATGATCGCCCACGCCATTCGGCAAGGCACCTGATGATGATGATGAGACAGGAGGGTCGTGAACCTGAGGATTTAGGGCCGAATGGCTGTCTCCATGGGCTGTGCCCGTTAGGATGTTTATTTTTGCCCCAACGAAAAATCTTTGCGAACTCGGTCTTCCGAAGTTGTAACCTCTCGGCCAGCCTCTCCTCGAATATCTATTGAAATTCAATTATACAATTCCGAAATGAACACCAGAGAAAACAGAGTCGCCATCTGATAAGAATGAGTGACGAATGAAGTTCAAACCCACCAGGACCGCGCAACGAGGGATAAACATCCGGTGACACAAAGTACCACTATTCGGATGAGAATCCCCCGGGCACAAGTCCTAGAAACTCCGTTTCAACTGTTATATGATATTAAGCCCCCCCCCCTTCCCATCGACAGCCAGGGTGGGGCTTTGAAATAAAAAAAAAATTGCTTCCCATATTTGGGCGGATGATAGTGACAAGATGGCGACGTAAACAGTGTGTGTTATTCAACGGATGTGTAATTTTTCAGTGTTCTCGATGTGATTTACGTGTTTTCAGTGTTCTTTTAAGGATGAATCTGTGTCAGGTCCAGCAAATCGGCAGTGGATTTAAGAGTTCGCAAAAATCTGCTCTAGAAACAATATATGAGATTAGAAAATCCATCAAACGTAACAACAATCAGGGCTCGAGAACAGGTCAGCCATCTCTCACTCATTGTAAACAAACTAGCCATACATGAGGGCAAGATCAGAGAAAGGTGGAAAGAATATTTTCAGACTCTTCTGAATGTAACAGGAAATGAGGAAACAGTACCATTCACACCCAGATGTACAAACGAGGAACAGCCTACAATAATCGAACAAGAAGTCAGAGAAGCAATCAGATGCAGTTCCAAAAATAAGGCATCAGGTGTTGATGGAATATCAGCCGAGGCAATACATGTTTGTGGAGAAATTGTATTTACCTGGCTACTCCACATATTTAGGAAAGCCTAGAATGAAAGAACTGTACCAATAGACTGGCAAAGAGCCCTTATAGTCCCAATTTGGAAAAGAAAAGGCAATAAGCAAGATTGTAACAATTACAGAGGCATCTCCCTTCTAAGCCACGTAGGAAAAATGTTTGCCAAAATTCTGGAACAACGAATTAGATCCGTTGTAGAACCGATCCTGAGCCCATCACAGGTCGGATTTAGGAAAGGAAGAGGGTGTACTGACGCTATTTTTGCTTTAAGACAAGTTAGAGAAAAGACAATAGAACACAGACATCAAATGAACATCGCTTTCATAGATCAAGAAAAAGCTTTCGATAGAGTAAACAGAAATTTATTATGGAAAGTTCTTGAAAACTACGGTATAAATGGAACCATTTTAGATTGTGTTAGGGCTATTTGTAGACAAAGTGAAAGCGCCATTAGAACAAGAGCTGGCATCACAGATTGGTTCCCAGTAACATCAGGAGTAAGACAAGGTTGTGTATTATCACCTTTACTTTTCATAATATTTATGGACAATATTAATAAAATAGACATGACACCAACAGATGTCGATAAACAGGAGGATTTCAATGAGCTGCTCTTTGCCGACGATCAATGCATTTTTCACAGTGATAGTAAACAGCTGCAAGACCACATGAACCTACTACACGACAGTTGCCTCAAGCATCATATGAAGATCAATACTGAAAAGACAGAAGTCATGAGCATAAGTAGAGAGCAACAGACCATCGACATAAAGATTCTAGATCACAGCCTAAAACAAGTGCAAGAATTTAAATACTTGGGAAGTATCTTTACATTCAATGGTAAAATAGACAGAGAGATCGAAGCAAGAATCCAACAAGCCAACAATGTCTCATACCAGCTTGCCCCAATTTTAAAACACCCTGCTGTCCCAGCTGAGATAAAAAGACAAATTATAAATACAATCTTTATACCGACATTAGGTTTTCAATGTCAGACTTGGACATTAACAAAAGAACACGAGAGAAGACTAACCACCTGTGAAATGAGATGTTTGAGTATGGCTGCGAATAAAACCAGAAGAGAGGCTGGGCCTCGAGAGGCAGGGGGTAAGAAGTGTTGGTGTTGTGGGTAGTGGGTCCCCCCCCCTTACTTCACCCTAGGTCTAGTGAATATCTGTTCACGAAAGGAGCGTCCATTGTGGTGTCAGCCTCTTGACCTAGCAAAACCTCTCTTACCTCAAGACCATTGTGCGTGGCGAAGAGTCACAGCCTCCCCGAGGTAGTCTTGGTAACTGGGGGTGCGAATCCCCAGGCAAAACACAATGGATCTAGAGGAGCAAACCTCGATAATAAACACGGTGCACCACACCGTACGGCCCCCTGTGGGAGGGAAGGAGCCAGAGGTGTGCTGAACAGTCTTAGGAATGGAAACAAGTATGCTAACCCCCCTGAATACCGGAAACTATCGTGAAGGCACAGGGTCTCAAGACGTGACGATCCAGTTGTCCCAACTACTCATGCTTAGGCCATGCTTAGAGCCATGAAGAGCTCAGCGAAACCTGCAGGCAATCTGGTGGCGGGGAATGAGCACACTGTGAGCCCCACCTTATGTACGTGTTAAAGGGGAAGGCAGAAACACAACCCATATTTCCTTTAGAACTGGTACAGGGCATTTCTAGCTGCTGCCCGGGGAGGTAGGTAATCCACAGACACCCCAGCACCACAATGCCATGAATATGTCAAACCAGAAGAGATCGAGTGAGAAACGATGTGATTACAAGAACTATTGGAACCATACCCATCGTTAAATGTATTGAGAAGCAAAGAATGAAATGGTTTGGTCACCTAGTGAGAATCGAACCAACGATGCCAGCATCAAGAGCATACAACATGACAATCGAGACACCAAGAGGCAGGGGAAGACCAAGAAGAAGATGGATTGAAGGAGTCACGGACAACTCGAGACTTCATAACATCACGGCATATGAAGCGACTGAGCGCGCCCTGGCTCGGTTGCCGATCATCTGATAGACTGCGACGCCTAGCGGCACAAGCAAATTTTGACAAAAGAAAGAAAGAAGATAGTGACAAGAATGTCCTAGCATTAACTACTGTGGAGAGCCACGCTGAGTATATATATATATATATATATATATATATATATATATATATATATATATATATATATATATATATATATATATATATATATATATATATATATAGACACATACACACACATAATAAGCACAAAAAAAGAGAAAGACAAAGCAAAAGCGACGGAATGAAGTTCAACATATAAAACGAAAACTACTTAGACAGACCGCTAGAAGAAGTCCAGGAACATCGTCTCAAATTCCTATCCCCGTCCCTGACTTCTCTAAGGTAACTACGTGAAGAGAAGAATACAGAGGCTATATACCATTGATGGATTCAGGCCTAAGCTAACTAAGTTAACCTTAGGGCCTCATAATATGCAAGGACCTGACAAAATTCCTTTTTTGTTCACAAATTTGTTTGAGATTTTAGTAATATTATCTGTGGTACATAATCAAGATTATATTTGCAGCCTATTTAAATCGAATAAAAAATGAGCTTGATATGCTTAACTTATATATTTGAAAGATTACTGATGTATTTTTAAAATGTAGGGTCTCAGGGTTTTATATAGTTTAGGGCCTCGTCACGTCCATATGTTAGCAAAAGTTAATGGTCGACGTTTGGTGCAGTAGAGCCTAGCATATGATACCACAACAACCATCTTAAGAATGGAGGTGGAGGCGGTCACTGCAGCTTTCGCTGGCTAGAGAACACGACACACATACACACACATCGTGATTGTAACTGATTCAGAAAGCATGCTGAGGAAGATCAGAACAGGTATGCTTCGTGCAGAGCGGCATTCTTCGCTGCGGAGGACACGGATGAGGAATATTGTCTGGATTTTTTTTTTACCGGGGACGTCGGTGTATTGGGGAATGAACAGGCGGACAGACTGGCGGGCTTTCCACAAATTTGTGGAATACTGATTCATGATAAGGCAGACGTGGTTAGTGCCTTGTGGGGGAGCGTGTACAGTTCGGAGGAGCAGATGGATCACCACAGTCTGGTGAGATTGATGCAGTGGGGAGTGACGAGAGGTTCAGAGGAAAGGCAAGACGGACTTTTAATCAGAATGCAACTGGCACCATTAGTAAAGGAACTCTTCGCTGACTGCTGAAGATGGGGACAAAGCGCTTATGGAAATGCCTCGAGTGCTGTGATGTAGGTTCTTGAATCAAATTAAATCAAGTCCATATCCGGCCCTGCGATATACTATACAGTAACAAACATGGACTATCAATGAACATGTTCAGCCATTACCTTTCTCAGTCGAACCTTCTTATCCCCAGAGTAGAGAAAGTAGCCGAGGCCTAGGCCGATAGCATAGACACCGGCTCGACAATATGGCTTCACCTGGACCTCAGAGAAATAGCTGGTTGTATTGGTTCTGTAAGAAAGTACAACAGGAACATCAGTACCTTGCCGTCCGCTTTGACTTCCCGAGAAATTTCTTGGTATCCACAGTTAAAAGGTTTAAGTCGAGAGGAACGACTTCATTGCTCCGGGTTTTATCCCAGATGGTTGGGTCTCGTCCGCAAAACGGCTAACAGCCTGCTCAGAGCGTCGCACAAAGCACGAACGACAATCTCCAGGGGCCTCAGTAACACTTGTGAACCAAACGGTGCTGCTGTGAAAAGAAAACGCGGCCTTCAAAGCGCGAGGCAAATTACTTGACCACTTCGACACAGAGACCCTTGGAGGTCCTCCCCAATGTGCTCCTCCGCTCGAAGACGCTGGCACAATATTGGATGTCAGGTCTGGTATACGCCGCCTAGCATTCGGCCAAACAGAAGACAGGTCGTACTGGCTATTGTTATGCGGCAGCTCAGTCATATCTGACCAAGACCTGACTGAAAAAAAAAATAGACGTTAACAAATGATTAACATATTAAACTTAGCCACACGAAGCAAATTTGGGCGTGGGTTGGGGGGGGGGGCGGAAAATCCTTGAAGTATGTGGCAACCCCCTGCAATAGAGTTGTATCAACAAATAATGAAGCACAAAAACTGAATCTTTTTCACTGAAATGTAAGTCTCAATAATAAAAAAAAAAATATTAAAAAACTATATAAACTTTCAAAACATCTGGTAAAACTAAAGTTGCCATGGTAATCATATCGCCAAATTTGAATTTCCGGCTGTCAGTTAGCAGTGTAACAAAAGCTAAGTGATTTGTTTATTCAAGGTTGTTGCGTATCCTTTACAGGACGTTGCAGAACCAACCCCAACAGCCCCTGGCTGTGGTGTCGTTTTTCTAGGCAAATTTACGTCCACTAGTTTGTCATTGCTTCTGGACAGTCGGCTTTCTGATTTGTTTATTACAGTAAAGAAAAAAAAAAGAGATTAATTTGTGTGTTTCATTATATGTTGATTTAACTCTGTTGTAATGCACCTGATAAGATACAGCGAAATATGTCAGCCCATAGATTGTGCAAGCTGTTGTTTGTGCCCGAGTCATGTAAATATAACACACGCAACACAGGGAGAACACATCAGGCTAGGTCTAATCCAAGACAATATGTGTATGTGTGTTCTGTTGAATCTTAAACTGGTCAGTCCTAATATGTATCTTCGTAGATGTGAAAATCCAATAGATGACTTACATACCCCTCCCCCCACCCCCATTTCATGTTTTCTGAAGCCCATTGGCTGGCCGGTAGACGACTTCGTCGCCGGTCAGGGCAGTATTTGGATGTCTCCTTTGATCGCATCAACACTACAAGAGTCTTTTTCAGAGTTCTTAGTGGTGTGCTGTGCTAAGCGATTTGATATGGCGCACATAACCTAGTCACAATTATAACCTAAAGCTCCCATTTCGGGGATGCCGGTTTTCTAGCAAAGCGCTTACCTGAATCATTGAGTAGAGAAAAATTGCCATGCAACTCAATCTCGTGGTGGGGGGAAAAAAATCATCAGCCTCATCCCAACTGATGTAAACCTTTCCCAGGTGAAACTTAAGGCAATCCAACACACAGGCCACATGCCTAACCTTTAATATACATACATCTATTGGCTTTTGTGGTTTTTCTAGGCAAATTTACGTTTAGGAGGGTCCTTTTGCTGACTAAAAGGTTAGCTTCTGATACCACCGCAAGACGGCCTGTTGCCAAATCGCCTGCAGCTGGGATCTAACCCGGCACCCCGGTATTATGCATTACACACACATATATATACACACACACACACACACACACATACATGTAAATGTAAAGAAAACGCCAATGTACTATCCAACATTGAGTCTTATAAAAGTTGTATGTCAGAATTTTATGTTAAGTAAATCTACTATTGTAACGAAAATCAACCATGCCATACCTCATACTATTCCCATTTATTGGCGTGTTGATGGCCAAAACTGACACGATCTGTAAGACAACCAGGCAACTAATGAGACTAAATCCCAGGACCGGTCGGCTGTGGGAATGGATAAATACTGCTTGAAACATCGCAAAATGATTCCTGATCTGCCAGTTATTAACAATTCAAGAAAAAACGGACATCTTAACACGCATAAAATTACCAGCAAAGCAATCTATGTAGTCAGCTTAAGTATACAGAGACAACAACAACAAAATGTAATATTTCTTTTTTGATTATTGTTATATTGTGATATTGAAATAATCGGAGTTATTTATCAAACATCTGTACGCGTATCAGGTGAAATCAGCGAGGCACTTTTTTTTTCTTGTTTATTTTTACAGAAGATCTTACAAAAGACTTACCAAAGTAGCGGAATAGTAACCAGGGGCGACAGGAGCGACATCTGCAGGTCGTTCACCAAGTAATATGACCACGGCATGCACTGCAATCATGCATCACACAACAGGTTAAATCTACTTCCTGTCATTTTACCAGATGTTTGTGCACACACACCAATCTCTCTCTCACTATCTCTCTCTCTTTCTCTCTTTCTCTCTGTCTCTGTCTCTCTCTCTCTCTCTCTCTCTCTCTCTCTCTCTCTCTCTCTCTCTCTCAGTTTGACCCTGTTTCTGTTTCTATCTATATCGTCTTTTTTCCGTGTGACTGTTTCTCTCTCATTCACTCGTTTTGTTTCTATGTATGTTTCTCTGACCCTGTCTCTGTTTGCGTCCTTGTCTCTGTATCTCTCAGCTGTTTTCTCTCTCTCTCTCTCTCTCTCTATATATATATATATATATATATATATATATATATATATATATATATATATATATATATATATATATATATATATATTTATATATGACTTTATGTTTGTCTATTTCTGTTTCTCTGCCTCTCTTTGTGTTTCTTTCTCAGTCTGCCTCACTCTGTCTCTTTTTCTTTAGTCATTTAGTCTGTGTGCCCGTGTTGGGTTTTTCTTCTTCTAGCCTATATTTGTCTATGTCTCTGTTGCGTGTCTCTCCGTCTCCTTGCTTCTCTCTCCATGTTTATATTATAAAACCTTTTAAACTTATAATATTGAGGGATTTGACTTATTACAATAGTTTTTTTTTTTTTTTCAAAGTTCAGTAATGTAAGTATAGTTAAAGAACATTTCAGCCTATGTAAATAAGACTAAGATGTTGTGAATTAAAAAACAAATTTATTAACTATGAAATGAGGTACGAATGAATAACTGTATGCGAGGAGTCACCTGGAAGGCGGAACGTTAGACGGGCTTGTATGCCCAATTCTTAACCATTTGAAAATAAAGTGTGTTCGTATGTTCGTTCGTTCTCTCTCTCTCTCTCTCTCTCTCTCTCGCTCTCTCTCTCTCTCTACATACGTATGTGTATGTACGTATATATATATATATATATATATATATATATATATATATATATTTATATATATATAATGAATGTGTTTGTTTTAGTTTGTGTATAATTGGCCGTGTGCGTAATGATAGTGTTTATTTATGTATATTTTTTCATGTATATGTGTATTAGTTCATATAAGTATATATGTACTGATGTGTAAATATGAGTGTGTATGTATGTGTATATCTGAAAATGATTAGTTACTTTCACTGAATTGTGTTTTCACTGCATACCCATATGTATTTTTGCTGTGAACATGCTTGATAGATAATAATATAACTGGTGTGAGAAAGAGGAGTGCTACCAAAGGACACGTGTAACACGGGCCTGAGTGCCCATTTTGTGACCAAAAATAAGTTCACTCGCATTCCCTCTCTCTCCTCTCTCTCTCTCCTTTCTCTCTCTCTCTCTCTTCTCTCTCTCTCTCTCTCTCTCTCTCTCTCTCTCTCTCTCTCTCTCTCTCTCTCTCTCTCTCTCTCTCTCAGTCTCTGTTCCCTTTCTCTTTCCCTCCCCTGTATTTTTCCCCTATAGCCTCTATGTTTCTCTGTGAGCCTTTTTCTCCGTTTATGTTCCTGTTTCTACTACTCTGCCCCCCCCCCCCATCTTTCTCTTTCTCTCTTTGCCCAAATTTAGGGTTTGTTGGAAATGGATGTATTGGTCCGAAAGGTACAGATATCGCAATCTACCTGTTAATCACAACACAACATAGTAGCTGGACTTCAGAAGACAAAGAATAACAAAAGAACTCTTTGACCAAAAGGTGCTGTTACGCAGCCTAGCTGTAAACCACAACACAAAATGCCAACTGCTATTTTGGGATCCCTAATGGTATAACAGTTAGACGCGCATCTGCAGATCTGAAGGTCGTGTGTCCAGATCTAAACGGAGCCAGGTTTTCTCCAGAAATAATCTTGGCTCCCAGGTCAAGCCAACTTTCAATGGCTACCAGGTAACAGCCTTGGAAGTAAAGGCGGTCGGCCTAATGTTGACCATAAAACCCACCGACTGTCAAGTGGTCTATCAAAGATATATCTACCACTAAAAGTCCATTATACCTCGTGGCGCGCAGAATAGTCCGTTACTTTACATTTCATATTATTATATGAACATAACATGCTTTATTGAGAAAACACAACTGCTGTGTGAAAGATGGGAGCAAGAGCCGAATGTTAGACAGACCCGCATGCCCAGTTTGTGACTCTTTCAAAATAACGTTTGTTCGTTCGTTCGTTCATACATTCATACTTTACTTTTACTTAAGGGTAAAACAGAATAAGGAAGAAAGAAAAACAGGTTTCATAGAACAGTAGGGGATGAGATCTCAGGAAGGACACACCCAGGAAGGGAAGATGATAACTTTAAATGAGACACAGAAACGGGTACCAACCCTTACCATCTCATGTGCCTTGTGAAAGTTGCTTACAAACAAGACGTTTGACCACCAGTGATTCCTGCAGTGTTCACTAGAGTCTGCCTGTTGCCTCAGCTCTCGCCCAGTTCCCAGGTATCTACTCAGGTTCGTGTGTATCATCAGGGACATGTAGTGACATGGCACGATTCTTGGAAATACATGTCAATATGAGAGTTCTACACACAACAGGTTACGTAAAACAATTTGAAATACATCGGGGATTCTTTCTGTCTCTGTCGTCCTTACTTTAACGTTAAGAGTAGTGCTCAAAAGTGAAAAACATTCTAATACAGAGTCATTCCTAGGTCGTCTTGACAACATTACTGCTACCAGAATTCTGGACGGTACGACAACAAGCCTTCTTCAGTAAATAAGCATACGAAAGCAGATCACAAATTTATGAC